CTAGGGTAGCCATTGCCGAGGAATATCTCCGTCAATTTGTCCAGCTCCTCGTCCCAGAATTCTACATCCGTTAATCGTAGGGTTCGGCTGATCATGCTTCTCATTACTCCAATCTTAAGCCTGTAATTGTGATGTGCTTGGAAATTGAGTATTATCCCCGCATAGGACTTCTTCCAAGTACCGCATGAGTACTGTCGGTTGTAGCGGTGCCATCTTGAAGCTTTCTTTTATTTTGTTCATGTATCTATTGGCTAAAAGTGATGAGAGCGGCGATCCCATGGAACTCTAAATATTTGTTCATAGATGTTTCCGTTCAATGTAAAGTAGGTTGTCCTTAGTGTCAAGTTGATTAGTTTGGTTAAGGACTCCCTACCGATCCGTTGTGATTGCAGTATATCTTCCTCTTGGTCCAGGGTTTCCAGCAGGGCCGTTAGTGCATTTTCTACAGAGATATTCGTATACCTGGATTCCAAATCGAAACTTGCCAATAAGTCCGTTTGCTCAAGTTCCGTGTTTTTGATTTTTTGAGAAAATACATTTGAGTGTTTCACCGTGTTAGTTAGCCTTTTATTTAATTTCTTTAGTTTTAAGCATATAAACTTTGCCAATTTGTGTGTTGCTCTATACTTATTGTTGACTATTATCCTTAGTGGCTCGCCTTCTTTGTGTATCTTCGGTAATCCGTATGCTTTTGCTGGTCGTGCACCCTTTCTTATGATTGAATTTATTGTCCATGCATCAATTTCCCCATTCTTATGATTATCTTTCAGCATACCACTTAAGATTCCATTGATCTTCATAGTTGGATCTTTGTTTATTATACGATAAGTGTTTGTGTCTCGTAGGATGTGTTCCATTTTATCGGTGTATTGTTTTTTGTCCAACCACCACACCGCGACCACACCAGAGGCCACAACATCTTGGTCTTCATATATTCAAAATTACTGCAAGTTTCGTATTCATCATCGAAATTTCAAAACTTCTTTGGGCTCATTCAGCTTAACCTTGATCAAGGTGTCCACTTTTAATGTTGGTTCGATCTTGCTTTCGTAACTTGGTCGAAGCGTCAAGGAGACCTTGTGGGCACCAGT